CAGTTTTGCATTTTCTAAAAATTTTACATTCATGGAATGTAGTCTTTGGTGTCTGGCTGCTTTTACTTAGCATAAAGTTTTTTGAGGTTCATTCATGTTGATGCGTGTATCAGTAGCTTGTTCCTTTTAGTAGCTAAGTGGTATTCCATTGTAAGGATATAGAATATTTTGTTTGTTTATTCATCAGTTGATAGACATTTGGATTACTTCCAGTTTTTAGCTATTATGAATAATGCTGTTGTGGACATTTATGTCCAAGTCTGTTTTTGGACATATGTTGTCATTTCTCAGGTATATACCTAGGAGTGGAATGGCTGGATCATATGGTAAGTGTATGTTTAACTTTTTAAGAAACTGTTAAACTTTTCCAAAGTGGCTGTGTCATCTTCCATTATCACAAACAATGCAGTTTGTTTCCTACCAAGTTCACCACTGACACAGGTGTGGAATTTTGCTCTCTGCCAAATATTATCCACATTTTATGGACAAAGAAACTGAGGCTCAGGAAGACTAAGAATTTGACTTACATTGCATAGCTAGTAAGTGTCCGTAACTTTGGTTTCTGTTCCATATTATTCCATTTGAGTGAATTCAGACATATGCTCATATACTCAAGAGATCTCCATGCCTACAAAAGTAGATTATTCAGTATTTCTGGTTCCCAGAGGCAAAATTATATTTCAGAAAGGGTTTTTTTTTTCTTTTAAAAATTCACTCATTTGTAATGTTCCAGGTACTCTGCTAAGGGGCGGGGGATACAATGACTTCGTGCACACTTGCAGAGAACATGTAGGCTAGTGGGCAGAGACAGGTAAGCAGTGAAATGCAGTGCAGTGTGACCAGGGTTGTGGGAGCTCATCAGAGGGGTACCTAAGTTCCCCATGTATGTCAGGACCAGCATATGACTAAGAAATAATGGGAATGGGCAAGGCATTAAATGCTGCAACATGTGTGCCTTTGGCTCATTATCAGAAAGCTCTCTCTCAGACAGAGCTACCCAATGGAACATCCGTTGGAACCTCCGGAGATGGTGAGTCCATGCTACCCAAGTGGTTTGCTTCAGAAGCCAGAAAACCATTTGTTGGAAATATTACTGAGGATATTTACATGTTATTTACAACAAGTGAGCATCATCCTTTACTCCTCTTTCCTCACACTCCCCTCCAGATAGAATCTTATCAAGTGCTGTTGATTTTATTACTATGCCATTCACTCAACCCCCACTGCCAGTACCATAGGGCTGTCATTTCCTCTTGCCTGGATTTTTTGACCACAGCCTCATCTTCCTACCACCAGGGTCCATCCACTCGCTACTTAAAACACTTCAGTGGCTCCATATTACCTTCAGAACACAGTCCAAACTCCTTAATGTCGTTTCTACAGTCTTTTAGGGCCCCTGTTTTCATCTCCATCTCTCTCACTACTTCCCTTTAAGTCTCCAACCCAGCCATACCGAACTGCTGGCAATCCTCTGAATCCACCTCATTCTTGCTTTGTGTCTTGCCTTTGCATTAGCTGTTCTCTCTGAGCAGAATGACTTTCACCCACTCTCCTTTACCTGGATTCTTGTCCTTTGGTGTCTGTTTAAATGTCACTTCCTCCAAAAATCTACCCTAGTTTCCAAGCTAGGTTAGATGTCCCTCACGTGGGTTCCTGCTCAAGTGCCTTGTGCTTACTTCTACTGTAGTTTTTATCACTCTGTATGGTAATTAATGGAACTCTGGTGGCACAGTAGGTAAGAGCTCAGCTGCTAACCAAAAAGTCTGCAGTTCGAATCCACCAGCCGCTCCTTGGAAACCCTATGGGGCAGTTCTGTTCTGTCCTATAGGGTCGCTGTGAGTTGGAATTGACTCGACAGCAACAAGTTTTGTTTTTGGTTTTCCTCCAAAAAGCTACCCTAGTCCCCAAGGTAGGTTAGGTGTCCTTCAAATGAGTTCCTCAATGCTTACTTCTATTGTAGTTTTTATCACTCTGTATGGTAATTAATGGAGCACTGGTGGTACAGTGGTTAAGAGCTTGGCTGCAAACCAAAAGATTGGCAGTTCGAATCCATCAGCTGCTCCTCGGAAACCCTACGGGGGCAGTTCTACTCTGTCCTATAGGGTTGCTATGAGTTGGAATTGACTCAATGGCAGCAGGTTTTGTTTTGGTTTTTTTTGGATGGTAATTAATGGTTTACGGTTTGTATGTGTTTCCTGTTCTACCATCCTCCACCCAAATGAGCTCCTTGAAGGCAGGACTGGCCTTGTTCACCTCAGCACCTAGTACAATGTGTGGCTCACAATATATGCACAAAGAATATTTTCATTTGTATAGATAGCACTCTGCACTTTTCAAAGTGCCTTACACAAATTCACTCCTCTATAAAGATATGATTAAATTTCCTAACATTCACTCCTTTTGAATAAAATATTCCTTTAAAAAATATTGCCTTTACCTACAAGATTTCTGTCAGGCCAGTTTTGCATTATATCACTAATGTGACTGAGTCAGGCCCCAAATGGTCTCATTTTTGCCTAAACTTGAAGAGTTGGAGAAAAAGGAAATTTTGAATGACTTGACTGCAGGTAGGTGTCTGTGGGTGTTGTGGTGGGGAAATGAGTGCACAGAACTAAGACGTGGGCCTTCCTGTGTGCGCCTGAACTAGTGATCTGACCTTCTCATGAGTTCCCATCCCTGGCTTCTTGGTGGCAGAAGGTGGGGCCAGGGCTACAAAGGGCACACTGTGACTTGGAGGAAGCTGTCTCTCAGTTCTTGGAATCACAGAACTTTAGAGCCTTAGGTCATCTGGTTCAACCTCCGCCTTTCAGAGTGGGCAAAGAGAGCTATCTTGCCCTGGAAATCTCAGAAGACCTCCTATCAGTCTTGCTTTCCCTTCTCCAAAAGGCTGGAATCTGAGGTCGCTAGGCTCCTGCGCGCAATCAAAATATCTTGTAGAAGAATTTATCCTCTCTGTCTTTCAGCCTCATCATTTGAATAGTATCCTCTGGATAGATAATGCGTTAATATTGCTATATAGGAATTCATGGAAGGCATAGTTCCTGGCCCCTAGGAACTTACAAATTGTGACCAGGAGTTTAAGTGTGATTTGCACTGTCAGTCAAATCAAAATGAAAAGAATTTTTAAAATATGCATTTAATTTAAAAGCTATATGGCCAGCCAAACCAGCTATTAAATCACAGTAATTTTTATATTTTTGCCTTGATTTGAACTATCTGGTTTGTATATGGAGATGGTCTCAAATTACAATTTAGGAAAGTGCTGAGGATGAATGGATAGTCACTTTTTCCCAGGGTGTGGAGGAGTCAGAGAGAGGAAGGAGAGAAATGACATTTACTGAGCACTTCCTGTATTCCTTGTGTTTTACATCGATCCTCAAAACAAGCCTATGAGATAGGAATTATCATTCCCACTTTCCTGGTAAGACTCTAAGGTATAAAGATTCCTGGTGGTTAGGATACTGGTAGCGGGGTGAAGGGAGAGGTTTAAACCCAGTTCTGAATATCAGCAGAGACATACAAGGCTGCCTAGAGGCAGAAAAAGACACTGATACCCTGGGTTTCTGTTAACCCTTTGAAAGAGGTCCAGTCTTAAGTTTGGAAGGGAGTGATGTGTTACTCTCATTCTCTTACTTTCTTTTTTGTATCATTTTAGAAAAATCACCTTTGAGAAGGCTCCTTCCCACGAGGAGGGAAGGAAGGCAACAAAAACAGGCAGATGTTGAGATTAACGAAGATTGCAGGTATTTTGTCAGAGTCTCCAAGGAGCTTCCCACTAGGTGCTCTAATGCTCTAGAATAAATTGTCCTGCACCCACCTCGTGGGCCTCAACTGGTGATCTGACCTTCTCATGAGTTCCTGTCCCTCGCGTCCTGCTGGCAGAAGTTGGAGGCTTGGAGGAAGCTATCTCCTGGTTCTTGCAATCACAGAACCTTAGAGCCTTAGGTCATCTGGTTCAACACCCACCTTTTACAGATGGAGTAGCTGAAGCCCTAAAAGGCCAAACAACTAGCCTGCAGTCACCTGGCAAGAGAGCAGAAGGAAGTGTAGGCTCATGGGGTCAGCGCGCCTGCTGGCTAGACAGCCCAACTCTGACAAATAGAAAGTGAAAAGGGAAAATTCCATCCAAATGTGAGAAGGCAGAAAAGGAGCTGCTCTTATTCTCACACCCAAGGTGTGAATTCCTTTATTGAATCATAATAATTTTCAAAAAATTCCAAATCTTGCTACTTTAGGCTCTCAGGCAGGCATCTACCTCTTTCTCCTCAAGCTCCACAATCCTTCAAGGTGTCTCATAGTCCAGCCAGGGAGTGGTGGCTGCATGGGGACAGGGCTCCTGTGGCTTCACTTCATCCTGTCACCCCCCTCCCCCCCTCGCACCAGGCCCCTTGTTCCTTTGGTCTCAACTCTAGACAGCTGTGTCTTTCAGAAACTTCTTCCGTGGCAGTTCCTCTGTCCCAACAAAGATCATTCCCATGGCATTGTCCTTATATTTACATTTGTACAGAGTGTGAGCTTTTGTAAAGTGCTTTCATACCGAGCTTTTGTAAAGTGCTTTCATACCCAGATTCTCACTTGATCCACATTACACCCCTGTGAGGTAGGCAAGGAAGGGATTATTCCTCCCATTTTACAGGAAGGGGGATGGAGGCTGCCCTCTTGGTTCTCCAGTGTCGTCAGGGAATAGTTACAAGCCCCAGCCTCACGGTGGCCTAGCAGTGCTTCTTAGGCACAGGTTCCAGGTTTCATCTTTTTTCCTCACATTTTCTGGAATCCTAGTGGTTCTACATGGCAGGCATGTTACAAATGTGGCTGAAGATCGACGGTTACTCACAGGCTGCGCTCATATACTTTGTGTTGCCCTCGTAGTGTCTCTTTAGACTCCTTGGCTGATTTCCGACTGAATTGTCGGCCACTCAGATTTTCAGGCGACACAAGTTTGCAAACTTCCATTTTATCCAAGTGGATCTGTTTTAGTTTATTTTTTCTTGCCTAAATGTTAGGCATCCAACCTAATGTGTTTCAAAAATTAATATAATTTATTTTCCATCTTGTCAGTGCAGAAGGATGTGTTCTTAAAACAAAGCACTGAAGATCTGAATCTTTCCTTCTCTTCTACTTCTGACACTCCTACTGCGAGTAAACAGTTCTATAAACGTGTGGGTCTGTGTTCACGTGTGCACAGATCCACTGTTTTATTCCATCCTTAACTGGTTTCATAGTGGTTAAGTAAGTACAAAGCGGCCTTCCTATCTTGTTCAAAATGGAGATTCTCGTAACATCTGGACTTTCATCAAGGCCCGTTTCAGCTGCTCATAGGTTACAAACATAATCACATTCCAGGATCCCAAACGCAGAAAGGAGGGTGTAAATCTGATGAGATAAACAACCAAAACATCAGGTGGACTGGGCGAAAAGACCAGAACCAGATCTCTTCTCGTGCTCGCCCCCAAACACAGTGTTAGTGCCAAAGGACTAGAGTTCTGTTAGTCACGAGCATTTTCTGAGCTCTGGTCAGTCTTTTTTTCTGTGCTGGAGGAATTTAGGCAGAAGTTGGGAGTCAGGAAAGGAAAGAAAACTAATATTTATTTTGAGCCAGGGTGGTGTGTCAGGAACTTTCACACACATTACCTCAGCTGATTGTCACAATTTTGTAAGGAAGCTATTATTGTTGCCAGGTTTCATTTTCAGAAACTGAGGCACAGGAAGGCTAAGTAACTCAAGTAGAACCACATAGCTAGTAGATATCAGAGATGGGGTTCAGTGAGCTCTGTGTGGCCTGACTCTGCCCTGCTGCTGGGTGTTTCTGGGTTCATTTACATCCCGAGTGGCCAATTCTGAGGAGGACACCGGAAAGCTGCAGCACTCTCCCCTTTGGTCTGAGCTGGAGCTCAGACTCAGGGCCTTCACCAGCAGGGATTTAACAGTGTGGCACCAAATCTAGCTAATCTCCAGAGAGCCTGCCTACCCCATCAACAAAAGTGTTTCTGAGATAGCACAGGAGGGAGAGAGTCCCCTGCGCTTCACAGACTCAGGGAGAAGTCCATGACCTCCTCTTCAGCCTGTCTCTCCACCAATCCCCTCCTAGCCCTCTCTGCTAGTACAGTTCTCTGATGACGCAGTTCCATGCATTTGCTTGTGTTGCTCCCTCTGCTTGGAATATCCTCTACTCACTTCTTTGCCTGGCCAGCTGCCCTTTGCTCTGTAGGACTCAGCTCAGGTCCCATAACCTCATGCAATGTTCATACTGAATCCAGCCTAGGCCTCTCACAGGGAGTACAGCATTGTGGCAAAGAGTGTGAACTCTGGAGTCAGACCTGGGTTTAGATCCTAGCTCTACCAGTTTCCAGCTTTATGACCTTGGACAAGTTACTTAATCTTTCTGAGCCTTGGTTTTCTCAGCTGTAAAATGAGTAAACTAACAGTATCTACCCGATTACATTGTCATGAGGATTAAACGAGTTAATGCTGTAAAGCACACAGCAGAGGGCCAGTATCAGTAATGCTCAAGAAATGTCACATACTTGTTGGCTCCTCTTTGAGGGAAGCATAGCTCAGGGCCTGGCACACGCAAGATGCTCAACAGTGTTTGAAAAGTGAAAGAATGAACTGAGACAGTGACTAAAGTGGAAGACTGTAAAGATTGAGGCACATAGAGGAAAGGAACAGCTGGTCAATTGAAATACCATTTTATCATGTCATTCCCAGGCTCAAGAGCCTACAGTGCCTACTGTTTGCTTGTTGGGTCTAATTTAACATCAGGATCCAGAAAACAATCTGCTGAAGGCCTTAGTGGGAGGTGAGAGGGTCAACCAAAGAGCTTATGGTAGGACAGATGATAACTTTCAGTGCAAACAACAATAATAGCTACTTCATAGAAATGTGGTAAGAATTAACTGATGGTCTAGGTTTGAACCATGGCTCTGCTATTTTAGCTTTGTGATACTGGACAAGTTACTTAACCTTTCTGAGTCTCAATCTCTTCCTCAGTAAATGTGGAAAATAGTACCCACTTCAGAGAGTTGTTGAAATAATATGTGTAAATTGCTTAGCACAAGGCCTAATACATAGAGATTCAGCTATCATGATTATTATTATTAACCTACATTACTGAGTGCTTGCTTTGTGCTAGGGACCCTGGGAGATAAAAGATGCATAAGTCACCATTCCTGCTTTCAAGAAGCTTGTGCGCTAACAGGGGGAATAGTTTAAGTTTACAAATACTATAATACGTCAAAAAACCCATTGTCGTCAAGCTGATTCCAATTCATAGCGACCCTATGGGAAAGAGTAGAACTGCCCCACAGGGTCTCCAAGGCTGTAAATCTTTACAGAAGCAGACTGCCACATCTTTCTCCTGCGGAGCAGCTGGTGGGTTCAAACTGCTGATCTTTCCGTTAGCGGTCGATTGCTTTAACCACTGTACTACCGGGGCCCTTTTAATACAAGGTAGGAGGTGGTAAATGCCATAAAAATAGTATCAAGGAGGTGTTGTTGAAGTTCACAGGGAGGAGAGAAAATTAATACCTGAGAGTATCAGGGAGCAGGTGGTGTTTGAGCTAGACTTGGAGGAGGGCTAAGATTCACAGCATGTAGACAGCAAGGGAAAGGCATTCCACGCACAGGGAATAGTAAATGCAAAGACACGGAGGCAAGAAACCTGAGGCCTGTTGGAATAGCGAGTAGGGCACTTCAGCTCCTGTCAGTCTGGTGATCAGTGTCATGGCAGTATGCTGGAGTAGTCTCAGGATCACTAAGCTCCTTTTGCCCCTGTTCCCCTGCCCAGTAAGTTTGGGGATAGACAGCACAGGAGGTCCTGGGTGGTGCAAATGGTTAAGCGCTCAACTAATAGCTGAAAGGTTAATGGTTTGAATCCAGTCAGAGGCACCTCAGAAGACAGGCCTGGTGATCTGTTTCTGAAATGTCACAGCCTTGAAAACCTTATGGAGCAGTTCTACTCCGCACACATGGTGTTGCCATGGGTTGGAATCAACTCAACAGCACCTGAAAACAACAACAACAGACTTTTTTCCTCAGTCTTTCCTGATTCTCCAAATCAGGTTTGGTCCACTCATTTTTTTTTTACTTTTTTATATGTTTCTTTTGTGGCATTTACTTCTGTGCTGTTCTGACCCTTGGTAGGTATTTCAGACATGAAAAAAGAAGGAAGGAAAGAAGGAAGCTTGGCTTCTCTAGGACAGAATATGGAGGCAGGAGGAGGAGGCTCACCCCTTATAGAAGGCTGTGGGGCCCTCCTGGGTCACCATCTTCAGCATACAGTGCAGGGGGTTGCGGTACCAGCCTGGGGGTGAGTTCATATACCGAGTCTTCACCACATCTACCGGGGAGGCCACAACTGTGGCACAGAAGCCAGCTCCAAAGGCAGACATAAAGTGGCAGGGGAAGTTGTCTGCAGAGGGGAAGGGAAGAGCAAATACCAGGCTGTGGGATGAGGCATGCATGTGCTTTCTGTTCTGCGTGTATTCATTGTTTGTAACCAACTAAGCTGTGAACTCCTTGAGTGTAAGGATAGCATTTTCCATATCTCTCAAAGTACCCAGGGCTGAACTCTTGGTAAAAAACCAGTTGCTGTCAATTCCAACTCAGAGCGACCCCATGTGTGTCAGAGTAGAACTGTGCTCCATAGGGTTTTCAATGGCTAATTTTTTCAGAAGTAGATCACTAGGCCTTTTTCCTGAGGCACCTCTGGGAAGATTGAAACCTCCAACCTTTCAGTTAGCAGCCAAGCACATTAACGTTTGAGCCACCTAGGGACTCCAAGCTCATAGTTAAGTACTGGCAAAATAGAACTGTTCTGTCTCAGAATTGGAAGGGTATCAAGTCCAACTACGTCTGGCCAGTAAGGATACTGAAGTCAGAGAAGGTGAGTGACCTTGCACCCAAGGTTACATAGGAAGAGGTGGCACTGGGCCTGGAACCCTGGTCTCTGGCCTCCTAGTCCAGGGTTCTTTCATCACTGATCTTTTTACTGGGCACCACTCCTCTCTCTACTTCTTCTGAAGCCTAGTTTCCTCTGGGTAGGGTCTACTCTATGACATTCCAGGTTCCCTCCCTGCAGGTCTGGCAGGCTGCTGTGGGAAGGCTGTCAGCCTGGAGCCACAGCCTCACCGGTCAGCAGGTGACAGTCTAGCAGCTTCTCCTTGATGATGTCATAGGTCACCATCTCAGCACAGTTGACAATGGCATTCCTTGTGATGTTGGGCAACGTTCCTGTTAGGAAGTAGGAATGGGGCTGATGAGTGGAGATAGGAGAAGTGGATACCCTGGCTGCAAGGCCGCAAGTCATTTCTCCAACCCTCAGTCTGGGTGGCATAGTGCTCCCTTCCCGTGGCCTTAGCTAGAGGAGCCCATACCTTCTTTTCCACTGTTTAACAACTCTCACGTTATCCATGTCCTCACCAGAGACAGAAAAGAAAAAGGCCTACTTGTGTTTGTTTGGCCATATTTTGGAAGACATTTGGCAATGGCTTTCAAAATTAAAATATGCCCCACTCCAAGACCTAGCTGGAGTCAGAAAAGGATGTCTTTGTTTGGAAGAGGGAGGCTGGGCCCTTGGGATAGTGACAGAATGCAGTGCTGGCAGGGCCCTTGGAGAATGTCAAGTCCCCTCCCCTCATTTCCCAGGAGAGGAAACAGGTTCTAGGAGGGCACACAGCAAGTAAGGGCAGAACCAGTGCTATGGCCCAGGTGGTTTGTCCTTAAACCATGTGGCCTTGAACAACTTCACTGGGTCACTGTTTCTTCTGCAAGGATTCATGTGACCCCAGGTCTGCATGTGGGAGAAAGTCCAGCATTTGTCAATGTGGCCACCTGTTCCTAAGGAAGCCCCCTTCTCCCTGTCCCCCCTGCCCCCCACTCCTCACCACTGCGCTCCTCCAGTGTTTCTTCTCTGTGTCCTACAGTTACCCCTCTTAGACCTTTTCTTGGAGGGCCCATCCCTTCTACCTCCATGCATCTAGAGCCTGCTCAGCCTTAAGGCCCAGCTGAAATGTCACCTTCTCTCTGGAGCCAGGCATGGTCTCTCCCACCTCTGGATCTTTAGCTCTGGCACGACACCCAGCACATCCTGCCTTGAGGTATAGCTCTTCCTTGACATGTCTTATCTCCTCTGTATGTCTTATAAGTGCCTTGAGGATGTGGAAGGTGTCTTTTATTTACTTCTGTCTCCCTCACAGCAGCCTGCACATGGTGGAGGGTTGGTAAATTGAACTGGATTTTAAGCACTGTGGCAAGTGAATGAGATATTTTTAGCTGGAATGTTCTTTCAGAATCACTGCAATAGCAGCATGCTGGGAGCTCCCTCCTTGCTCAGTTTCCTGCCCCAGCCCTAGACCCCCAGAGCCTGGAGCTCAGACCTACCCTTCCACAGGCCCCTGACTCCTTCCTCCTTGGCAATGGTTCTGTAGGCATCCATAGTCCCACTGTATTTCCTGTCACTTCTGGGCCCAAGGTGTATGCTGGCCTGAAATCGGACCTTCACCACATCTGTGGGCTGTGCACAGGTCACCGCCATGGCCCCAGTGGTGCAGCCCGCCAAAATCCGAGTAGTGACGCCGGAGTCTGGGGAGGTGGAGAGGGAGAAGAGGGAGTGGGCCCAGTTGCTGCCACTGCGCACCTCTCTGGGATTGACGCTGTTCCTCTGTGGGGCTGTCCCTGCCTGATACCTGAACTCTTTTCCCGGGTTAGGGTTTTTGGAGCTTCCTTGACGGCTGCTCAGTATCCTCAAGAAGGTCTGTTACTAGCTTCCCCACACCCCCAGCTCTGCCTCTGAGTCTGGACTGCCCCAGTCTGCTGACCTGCATGTGGAGTGTCTGCTTCTGCTCAGCCCCCTTTGTGTTCAGGCGGTACCCAGGCACTCACGGTCTGATCCTTTGGGAGTGTAGAACTGCTTGACGGAGTCGTAGAGGCCGATGCGGATGGAGGCAAAGCCCATCTGTCGCTGCAGACCAGCTACCAGCCCATTGTAGGGGCTGCGGGGGCCCTCCGTGCGCACCATGATCAGGAGGGTGCCCAGCACACCGCGGTACTGCATACTCTGGGCCGCCTGGGCCGCCTGGTTCTCCCCCTGGATCTGAGGGACAACCCGCAAGCAGCAGTGTGAGGAGCTGGAGTGGGGTGGGATTGGAAGGGGCAGCAGGGGGCAGAGGGATCCTGCAGGGTCCAGGACTGCCTGGGCTGGACCTTAAGAACACACATGATTACAGACATTGAATCACAGGAAGACTAACTAAGGCTTGTGCAGTATTTTACAGCTCACAAATCAATGTTATACACACCGTGGCAATGATCCTCACAGCAAACTGGAGGGGCAGGTTATTTTTCCCATTTTACAAATGGTCAGTCTTTTGCCCAAGGTCACACAGTTAATTAATCCTTATCTTTACCTCACACTTTATGGTTTTACAAAGTAGGGGTTATGTTGTACCCAGGAATTTAGATTTTTTGTTTTTTGTCCTGGGCGATGGCGATGGGGCAGAGTCGAGGAGGGGTCCTAAGCAGTGGAGTGAATGCTTGGTCAGGGTTCTGTGTCAGGAAGAGCATGATGGCAGAGGTGTAGGTGCTGTTGGGAAAACTCAGCCCCTTTTTTGGTGTGAACAATGACCTTGGCCAAAGGACACCTACCTGCAGGCGGACCTTGGCTGTGTCCAGTGGAAAGGTGAGGAGGTCAGCAAAGCAGGCTGCCATGCCTGCCCCCAGGAACTTCACAGCCGTTGTGGGAGGCACCTCTGAAGGCTTCAGTCCAACCATGGTCCCAGAAGGCTCTGTCCGGTCCCTCCGGGGCCCAATGGAGGCCCAAGGAGAAAGGCTGCGCCACAGCCCTGGGCTTTAGTGCAGGGAGGAGGCTGCAAGAGGTAAAAGACAGGCCAGAGGAGGCAGATGGAACCTGTGCTGTCTGGCCTCAGTCCCCAGGCTCCCCTCCATGCCTGGGGGGCTTTAGGAAAGTGAGGAGCCTGGACGTTGACACGCTCAACCTGTGTGAATTTGGCTTACAAAAACAGGTCACTTTCCCATCCCTTATCTCTTGCAGTCCTCAGCCTGACCCCTACCCTCCCTCCTACATCCCCCCACCCCACCACGGAGTAGGCAGGGCTGGTGGTGATATCTTGTATAAATGAGGAAACAGGCTCAGACAGGGACCAGACCCTGGTTCTGACTCCAAAACTCAACTCTTTCCCAGTATCAAGCTGCTTCCTTTGAAAAGCCCTATCTACTAATCCTTCTCTGGAGGTGCAGTCTGCCAAGGGTCATCACTTCAAATCATTCTCTCCTGAATAAATGAGATAAACATTCCTTGTGACTCAACATAAACTGCTCTTCATCTTGGATGAGGGCACTTTCATCTTTGCAAGGTTACCCGATTAAACTATTATACTTAAAATCCTCCTCAGCCTGTGGTTCCTTCTCTGTCACAGGCTGGTTTCTGACTGAAGACATTTTCCTCCCAACACTGCAGAGTTCCTGAGGGTAGGAGGGAGACTGCCCCCTGGGTTGCTCTGTGGCTCTGCCTCCCCAGGGGGCTCTGAGGGAGACGGGCTGAAACGAATCCTTCCACTGATAGTCAGGGTGGTTTTGGCTGATGCCCTTTCTGTCCTTACACCTTCAAGGGTGTCTGTTCTCAGCTGAAGAGGATAAACTCTCAGACAGAGGGGGATCAGTCTTGGCTCAAGGGAATGTGCAGTCTCCCGTATCCTGCTGGAACCTGTGTACACACGACACACATGGTGGGTATTTGGGCCTGCACCCATTTTACTACTGGTTAACCAGGGGCACATCTGCATCTCAGGGTCTCACTTAAGGCTTGGTTTCCTCGGAAAGCTGCACGCTTGTCATGGGCAGCTGTGTGTTCTTATAATCTAGACTTCCTTTGGTGCTGATGCCCTCTCTTAGCTGTTCACACCCACTGGTGCCCTAACACACACACCTCTAGTGTACTAAGGGTCCTGATGGCCTCACCCTTCAGCTGGGGCCAGTCCTATAGAATTGTGAAGCAGACAGAGTGTGTGCTCCCGTCCTTCCAGGGTGATAGAAAGGGCTCTGGGCCTGTGGTCAGGAAAGCTCGGTTCTGGTCCTGTTTTCATGGCTTACTAATTAGGTGATCTTGGATAAGTCATTTAACCTCTCTTGGGTAAATGGGAATAATATATTACCTGTTCACCAGCAGTAAGAAGGGCAACAGAAGATAGGGACTGGGCCATGTGATCTCTCTAGAGGTTGTTTTCAGGACTGCCATCTACAACTGGGGTGGCTCCTTAACACTCACTTTCCCACTCAGGCACCCTGGACTGTTATACTTGCTGCCACCTCTTCCCAGAAAAGCCTGTTCTTGGGAAGGAGCTGATGCACTAATTCATGCTAAAACATAAGTGACTATCTTAATGATCAGTTATGTCTTGATCGCCATGCTAGCACTGGGGAAGTAAAGATATGGAATGAGTCAGGCTTGCCCCTTGCCCTCAAGGAGCTCACATTCCAGTCAGGAAGACAAATATGTGCAGAATTATCCAAAGGAAATGAAGGAAATGGGATGGGGGAGGATGGGCTGAGGCTGGAACTCACCAGCCACCGGGTCCCAGTCTAGAAGTCTGTGTTATAGTGTGGAGGGACAGCTTTTAAATCCTGCCCTGAGGGAGGGTGTGCTTTTATTTTGATCCTTCACAGTATGAGTTTGCATTACATTTTTTAAATGTTTAAAATTGAGGTATAATTTACATACAATGACTGTATGCATTTTAATGGGCATTGAGCTTTAAAGGAAATTATGAACACATTCTGGAATGGTAGGCCTGGACATCAGATGCTAGCATCCAAGAATACATGTCAGGTCATGTCACTCCCCTGTTTTAAAACCGTCTAGTGGCTGCTCATCTTATTCAGAACAAAGTCCAAAGTCCTTCCCCACCACTCTTCCCCTCACTGAGTTTCAGCCACATAGAAGCTCGCACCTCAAGGCTTTTGCTCTGGCTGTGACCTCTGTCTGGAACAGACACTCTCAGATGTTCAGATTCTCTCAGATACTTGCATGAATTGCTTCCTCACTTCCTTCAAGTTCTCCTTGAATGTCACCTCTTCAGTGAGGCCTTCCCTGAGCAATCTAATATGAAATAGTCACTCCCTGTTACTCTGTCCTTTTATCCTCCTCTGCTTATTTTCACAGCACTGATTGCCCTTGAGCAAGTCTACTGTCTGGCTCTCCCACTAGGATGCACTGTCCACCAGAGAAGGGACTTGGTCTGCTCTGTTCAGCGCTGAATTCCCAGTGTTTAGAAGAGTGCTATATTTATTGAAAGAATGAATGGAAGCATTAGTGGAAAACACCTTCCATGCCTATCCAATTCCATGTTCACATCATTCCTTTGAGGTAGTAAAGCTAGGCATTCAATTCAGTTAAAACCAGCCCATACTAGTGAGACCCACCCCCTGCCAGGTTCTATGCCTGGCACTCTGGGAAATCCAGAGATGAGGAAAAAACACAGTCTATGTGGACCTGCCCACAAGGGACTCTCCAAGGAGTCTTGTAGGGGCATTAGACATGCCCACAAGAAACCGTAATGCAATATGGACTGTGATCAGTATCAGAGGGAAGGAGAAATTAAGAGAGAGCTCGAAGGAGGGAGAGACCATCCCCTTTCTTTGTGAGGAGGAAGAAGAAAAACTTCATTGTGGGGGGTGGGAGAAGGATCACATGAGTCGGGCCTTGAAAGGTGGGCAGAATTCAACAGCTGGAGAAGTGGGAAAGGATGTTCCAGGTGGGGGGAAGGGCATGAGCTTATGCAAGAGTCCAGACATGGCTGAAGCTTAGGGTAGGAGGAGGGAATGGCTACTGGGCCATCAGGCCCCCATAGTGGGATCTCTACACACAATCTCATTTAATTCTCACAACTACCCTGAAAGCTGCTCCTCTCCCCTACTTCTTTTTTAAGAATTTTATGGTTTTAGTTTGCACATTTACGTCCTTAATCCATTTTGAATTCGTTTTTGTGTGTGGTGTGAGGTAAGGATCCTGTTTTATTTTTCTGCACGTGGAAATCCAGTTTTCCCAGCACCATTTATTGAAAAGATTCTTTTCCCCCCCATCAAATGGACTTAGCACCCTTGCCAAAAATCAGTTGACCGTAGATGTGTGAATTTATTTTTGGGCTCTCAATTCTATTCCATTGGTTTATGTGTCTATTGTTATACCAGTCTTTCCCCTACTTTTGGATGTGCAAACTGAGGATTAGAGACATTAACGTGCTTGGTGTGCCAGCCTCTAGTGCCAAAGCCTGGGTTCACGCCGCTACACTAGGCTCGAAACAACCCTGGAAAGCATTTAAATCCAGTTTACATATAAGAAAACAGAGGTTTAAGATGGGAAGAGACTGGCCCAAAATCATGGTGCTCCAGCCTGACTCGCCTGATGCCAAGGCAATAAAGGTCTCTTCACTATCCTATCCAGGGGCCCTGGCTGAGGTGTTAGTGTGGGTACCATGAGCTTGACTTTTACTAAGGATATTCAAAGCCCTTTGCAGTTACTAAATTATATGCAAAACTCATCTATGAGAAATTAAGTGTTAAGCATATGAAACAAGAGCATGTTGAGGAAGGCCCGGTGAGCATCACCGCCCCATAGGGCAGATGAAGAAAATGGGCCCAGAGAGGCACAGATTTGTGCACGGCAGCAGTCAGGTCTCAGGCTCCCTTCCAGTGCTCTTCCTACAGCCCATTTTCTGCCTTTCTGCATTGCCTCCCTGAGGGAAGGGCCCAAGAAGGGTCTGATCTCCTCGGGAAGGGAGCATGGAGGCTGAGGGGCCCACTGAGCTGAGCCTTACTGAACAGACAGCATTGCCGGAAAATACCATCTTCGAGTCTGCCTCCTTCCCCCCTCCCCTTTGCCCTACAGAATTCCAGCTTTTGGGATGCAGATTTCAGTTGTCAGCAGGGAGGCTCTGGCTCCTCTGCCTAGGGGTTGGGACCTGCAGTGTATGTGTATGTGAGATAGAGACAGCATGAGCAGCTGCCTCTCCCATTGCTCACATCCTGCTAGCCTCTCTCTTCTTCCAAGCCCTGGCAAGACTCCCCAGAGACCCCTCCACTGCCCCTCCCGTCCTGTGAAGTGAGCTGGGCTGCTCAGAATCTCACATCAAGAATCTTGACAATCTGACTCTCAGAGCTGGGAAGACCTCAGGGATTGTGGTCCTATAGTCTCCTACCGACTGTAGGAGTCCCTTTTTCAAAAAAGTTCGTCTGGTTGCCACCCAAGCTCTGTTGTTGTTGTGTGCCAATTGACTCGATTCTGACTCATAGAGACCCTATAGGACAGAGTAAAATTGCCCCATAGGGTTTCCAAGGCTGAAGCAGACTGTGTCCCGTGGAGTGGCTGGGGGGTTTGAACTGGCGACCTTTCTGTTAGCAGTCGAGCGCTTAACCACTGTGCCACCAGGACTCCTTTATACTAGAATACTATTCCCAAAAGAACCTACCAGTTAGGTACTTTTACCCCTACTTTCAAAGTCACAAACTGAGGCCAAGTGAAATGACGTTCACAGCTAACAGAGGTTGGATTCCCACCCAGGGCTGTGTGACTCTAGTGCTTCCTATGCTGTAGGCCACCTGGTATGGGGTGTCTGCCATATGCCAGACCTTGCAGGGGGCGCTGCATGGGGGTTGCCTCCTGCTGAGGCTGGGTCTTTCTCCTTGGGGGAGCCTGTTCTCCTCTGGCCAGAGGGCTTGAATAGTCAGGTAGGGCTTCTCTTCTGAACCTACTTTATCCCCAGCCACGTCTGATCTCAGACCTTCTTGTAGAATTAGCTCATTAACTGCAATTGTCTCCCCCTTAGATGGGGAGTCCACAAAGCAGGAATAGGGTTTACTTATCCTGATTCTCGGTGAAGCCTGCTGGTATCAGCACTCAGGGGGACCAGGGAAGACCAGCTGACTAAGGATCCCACTCGCTGAAGTAGGGAAATAGGAAATGAGAGATGTCCACAGGGCTTTTGGCAGAGGGCCTTGAATGCTGGGTTTACACTTAGTCTGGTAGAGAACGGGGGAGTGGTTGGTGGTTTGCAAGCAGGGGAATGACACTGTGGGACCTGTGTTCAGAGCATGCTGGTACAAGTGTTGAGGACAGACTGGGAGGGAGAGATGGGAGGTTCAGAGACTAGTAAGGAGGTTGGAGGAATGATGCCAGCAAGAGATGCTGGGCCCTGAACTCAGTCAAGACCAGTGGCCAGAGGGCTGTGGGGACCATGGTCTCAGGGAACATTTTGCTCAATTGGCATAACAAAGTTTATAAAGACAATGTTCTACATTCTACCTTGGTGAGTAGTGTCTGGGGTCTTAAAAGCCTGTGAGCAGCCATCTAAGATACTCCACTGGTCTCATCC